GAGCCGGAGCCCGAGCCGTAGCCGCCGCCGCCGCCTCGGCCACCGCCTCCGCTGACGCTACTGTGGCTGGTGCTCACCGCTGCCGGACGGACGAGGATGCTCAGTTCAGGGCAGCCAGCTCCCAGCCCTGGTCCCTTCCCAGCCCCCGCGGCCACCCCCGGGGGTGGGGGGCAGCTGGCACTTACACACGCTCACGTTGGGGACGCACTCTCCGGACATCCTGCGGGGGAGAAGCGTGAGTCCTGCCGCCCTGCAGCCCCAGCGCCTCTGGGCCAGTCGCCGACCCCAGCGCAACCCTCCAGGCCCTTTGGATCAAAAACCTGCTCCAAGCCCCTCTGGCCTCCCGGGCCTGTCGTGTTCTCAGCATGAGTGCCCACAGGGAGAGAAGGCCTCAACGCAGACAGTCTGGGGCTCCTGGGGGCCGCCCCAGGCAGAGGGCCCCGCACCCACCCGAGGAAGATGCAATCACGCCATCGCCAAGGGGTGAGCAGGTGCCTGTCCTTCCCCACGCCTGGACAGTAGCCATTGGCTGGTCCTCCCCACAGCAGTTTTGCAGGAGAGGGAACACTTCAGAGGCCAGACTGTCCAGGGCCCCTCCTCACCGGATCTCCTCGCCCTCCAGCAGCTGCCTGTAGGTGGCGATCTCCATGTCCAGGGCCAGCTTGGTGTTCATGAGCTCCTGGTAGTCACGCAGCAGCCGGGTCATGTCCTCCTTGGCCTTCTGCAGGGCGTCCTCCAGCTCGTTCAGCTTGCCCTGGGCGTCCTTGAGGGCGTTCTCACCCCGCTGCTCGGCGTCGGTGATGGATTGCTGCACCCCCGAGATCTGCCACAGGAGAGCCCAGCACCTTACACACTCGTCTTGTCTCATCCTTCTCTTCTCAAACTGACTTCTTCATCCCAGCGAAGCCAGTACTCAGGGTCCCACTGAACCATGGGTACTTCAATGGTCCCCGGCATGCCCCTGCCTTAAACGCCCCCACAGGTGACACAGCAACTACCTGTGCCGAGGCGAGACCCCAGCATTCTTCTGAAAGCTGATGCCTGCAAGTACCGGCTGCCTTGCCTCTCACTCCCCAGCTCGTAAGTGGGAGGTTTGATCACTCATGACCATACATCTGTTTGTCTCCTGGGTCATTTTCCCAAGTTACCCTAAGTATAGCCCAGCGTGAGGGCTGAATCCTGGCCAGCAACACAGTCACCAGCACCCTGGTGTGGGCCATGGGCCCTCCCCATCCCACGTTGCTGACCGGTAGAAAGAGGAAGCAAGCACCTGCTTCTTGATGCTGTCAATCTCAGATCGAAGTCTCTGGATCATGCGATTAAGCTCTGAAATCTCCATCTTCGAAGTTTTGAGAGTGTCCCCGTGCTGACCAGCAGTCATCTGGAGCTCTTCATACTGCAGAGGGAGGGTCAAGTGAAGGGGAGCAGGTATGAGGGGAAGCCCGGGACAGCAAGACAAAGACACGGCACACTCTGGTCAGACTCCAGCCCAGTCACCTTGCTGTGGTACAGGGCCTCAGCCTCGGCCTTGCTCCTCTGGGCGATCTCTTCATACTGGCTCTTGACCTCGGCGATGATGCTGTCCAGGTCCAGACTGCGGTTGTTGTCCATGGACAGGATGACACTGGTCTCACTGATGTGCGTCTGCACTTGTGCCAGCTCCTACAATGTAGCATAGCTCAGCGACTCTCGCAGTGTGAAGACAGAAAACAAGGCAGGGAGAAGGGTCAGGAGATCGGGGGAAGGCGGTGTCTTTGTTCTGGGTAGCGGTGGGCTTACAGGCTATGTGGGTAAACTTGGTTGAAACTAGAGCACTTACCGCTTGATAGAGTACTGTGTAGAACTCGATTTCCTGGCGCAAGGTGTCGACTTTGGCCTGAAGGTCCACCTTGGTCATATAAGCAGCATCCACATCCTGGAGAAACAGTGGCCATCATGAAGTCCTAGCCTTGCAGGGCAAGTCCCTCTCACCCATTGGGAAGGGTAGAAGACCTGCTTGGGTCCCAGGTGGCTGGCAATCCCTAGGTTACCCCACCCCTGAGTATCAGGAGCACAGGGGCCTTGCCTGAATTGCCTGGAACTTGCCTCCCCCCAACTGCATGAGAAATCTGAGGCAGAGAACCTGGATAAACCCTAGTTTGCGAACATGTGCAGAAAACTCTATTCTTCAGGTCCCTCCCTGCTTCTCCGCATCCTGACTTTCCTCTTAGTGCAAGGATGCTCTCTTGGACTACTTATTTCAGGCATGAGGCCCGTGTTATCAAATTTGCTCACCTTCTTGATGGTCACAAATTCATTCTCTGCGTTTGTCCGCTTGTTGATTTCTTCCTCATACCTGTAAGAAAGACATAAGCGGTTAGATGGCTGAGAGAAGGTGAGACCTGAAGTTCAGCTTCTAGACAAAGCCGTGCCCGTCACTGCTCTGCCCTGACTGGCCTGGGACACACTGACCCCTCTGCTCTGAGCAATGAAACCACTACACTGTGTCTACCGCCTGGGAAGATAAATAGTTCTAAATGCACCTAATAATTGATTTGCCTCTGACTCAAGATTTAAAAAAAAAAAAACCACTCACTCCTCCACAGTGTTCACAGACTTAGCTTGTCACTTTCTGAAAAAACCTTAGTACAGAAAGTCAAGAATTGCCCAGTCCATTTTGCTTACTTGTTCCGGTAATCTTCTACCAGATCTTGCATGTTCTTCAGTTCTGTGTCCATGGTAGTCTGTTCTCTTTTCAGCTGGTCTGTCATATTTCTGAGGTTGCTTATGTAGGCCTCGAAGTAGGGGTCCAGGCCCTGGGTCTTCGTCGAGGTGTCCACCTGCTGCAGCAGCTCCCACTTCGTTTGCAGCACCTGGTTCTGCTGCTCCAGGAACCGCACCTGCGAGTGCAAGACCCTGTCACCCCTGGTGCAGGAACGGAGCCCTACGACCTCCCTGGAAAAGGAGCTTCATTTCCTGTTTTCCTGACGATGACATTCTGAGAACCAGGAAGAAGATGAGCAAATTGGCATCATCTTCATGATAAAATCCGACTCACAGTTAGTCTGGAGTTTTCATTTCTCCTAGAACAGTGACCCTATTTCAGCTGCAACGTCACACGGAAGTAGCTACACAAACACCAACTGGCCGGGCACATGTCAGATGATGGCAGTCCCCCTGCACACAGAGCCATGACGCTGAGATTTCCCCCCCCCCCCAGTTTTGCCTTGGGTCAATTACCATAAGCACTGGTTTGTACCCCTGAGCCAACCCATAGTCAAAAGATGCTGGGAACATCCAAAACTGAATTCCAGACTTAAGGAGTTGACATTATTGATGATTGAGCAGAAAGGGAAAAATAGTGTAGATAATTTTCCAGAACAGATCATTGAAAACATAAATATAGATAAACCCCAGCTTGCCCTGGCACCAAGGCACCATTTGCAGAGGGCAGAGCTCCCCATCTGACTGCAGAAGCTGCTTGGCACTGGCCTGTGACATACACTTTGCTGTGGCCTCACAGTGTGCTCTGGCCCCACTCAGCTCCCTTTCATGGTTAGGAAGACCGCAGGACTCTCAGGGCACCCTTGAAGGCTGAGTTAGTCCCATTTCTATCGTCTCCATTCAATAGATACGTGCCCCAATTCAACTCCAGGACCGAACTTTTAAAAAACCACTTCAAGTTGATGTCACACTGAGCCACATTCGTGTGGGCCCCATTTGTCCAGAAGAGCCAGCCATGAGCTTTCATTCACGAGCACACTTCTCCCTCACCACCTGCACGACAGTCCTGAAGGCCACCTGTCACCCACGGACACTGGAGGCTCCAACCCAGGTGCGTCCCAGGCAGACGCGAGCAGCTCTCCCGCTGCACCAAGCAGGTGAACTTACCTTATCGATGAAGGAGGCAAATTGGTTGTTGAGCGACTTGATTTGCTCCCTTTCTTGAGACTTTACTTTCTGGATTTCGGGGTCGATCTCCACGTTGAGGGGTTGCAGCAGGCTCTGGTTAATGGTGACCTCCTGGATGCCACCAGGAGGACAGACAGGCCCATATCCACCCCCCATTCCACCGCTGCCAAAACTACCTCCGCCCATACCTCCGCCGATACCTCCGCCGCCGAAGCTGCCGCCGCCGAAGCTGCCGCCGCCGAAGCTGCCGCCGCCGAAGCTGCCGCCGCCGAAGCCGCCACGGCCGCCACCACCAAAGCTCCCTCCAAAACTGCCACCCCCAAAGCTGCCACCCCCGCCGCCAAAGCTGCCGTGTCCGCCTCCTCTGGCCACACTCATGGAGATGCTTTTCGTGCCGCCAAGGTTCACAAGACTGCGACTTCCTAAGCTGCCGCCTGCACCCCCGCCGCACGCTCCTCCGGAAAACCGCCCGCCGCCGCCGCCGCCGCCGCCGCCGCCGCTGCGGCGCATGGTGCAGGTAGTGGCCCTGCGCTGGACATTGACCATCCCGGCAGAGCCAGAGCTGAAGCCGCCTCCGCACCGATACCCAGACCTAGAACTGAGCTGCCGACTCATGTTGATGGGGAGAGGATGCAGCGAGGTCGAGAAAAGAAAGGAGCTGGTACTCCTCTGACCCGAGCACAGCGTCCTCGCCTTATATACACGGAGTCCCTTGGGCTTGGTCCTCTGTCAGCGGGACGTGGTGCCTCCGAGGGTTTGGCTTGCCTGCAGCCATACAAGATTTTTACGAGCCTCAACAATACGAATCAACACTACACACCTAGCTCCCAGGATGGCTCTCGAAATTGCTGCGCAGGCAAGATCATCTGTGTGGTAATCCTTTTATCAGGTACGATCTCTCTTCCAGTCCTTGCGACTTTGGAAAATAGGACCCCACATCTGTCACCTGGTGCTTCTAGATGGATTTCATAACCTCCTATCCTAGAGAGATCTCTCTGTTCCCGTTCTGGCTTTGCACTCGTAAGCTCCCAGGCACTTCCCCTCGGGCTTGGCAGGTGCAGTGACCCACTCTGGAATTTCAGAAGGAACTCCCTCACCTGTTTCTGAGGTCTGTCCTCAAAACCCCAGAGCTCGCCACGCTATCACCGGCCAGAGTGGGGGCTTTGAAAAGTAAAAATGTTAAAGTCATTTGTAGCAATGTAAGCTTTATAAACGAAAAGAGAAGCTATGGTCAAAAAGGGATGGATGGGCAGGTGTTCTGAAGGCCCCGGGAGGGAAGTTCTTTTCTAAGTTTTCCAGATATACCTTTCCACAAAGACAGACCAGGGCAGGAGGGAGAGGCACCGGCACCAGAAAGCAGGTGCTAACAGGTGACGTGCGAGTGGCGGTTGATAAACAGATGCAGCAGTGAGATGAGCAGATAGGAGTTGTTTCCTATGTCCTGTAAAGCAGGAGGTAGATTTAACAGATGGCTCAAGCCTTAGAACCAACTCGTGGAGGCATGATGTGGATCTCTAAGGAAGGGCCAAGCCAGGAGCCTGGGAAACCTGATCTGAGAAGTTAAAATTATCTGTGGCTGACAGACAAAATAGCAATAACAACTAATTTGTATCGAAGACTGCCCACTACCAAGCATATCTTTTCTACGTATTCACTTGCTAAATTTTCACAACTTGGAGGTCAGAGCTGTGCTTGTACCCTTTTATTTTCTTATTTGGAGTTATTCTTATACTGCTCCTTATTAAGGAATGACTTCTGATTTTTCTTTTTTCTTTATTTTTTTAAGTATCAAGAAGATGTGGTATACTTACACAATGGAATATTACTCAGCAATCAAAAAGGATAACCTCATGCGCTTAGCAGCAACATGGATAGAGCTGGGAGGGATCATGCTCAGTGAAATAGGAGAACAAAAGAGAAAAATATTGAATGGTCTCACTTATAGGAGGAATGTAGAGGAAACAAATAAGGAATCTGGGGAGGCAACTGTAGAGAAACCTTTTTTTTTTTAATGAAGAAACTGAGACAAAGAGGTAGAGAGGGTGTCAGGTATACACAGACAGCAAGTGGCACAGCTGGGATTTTAGCAGGGGAAGACAAGTTATAGTGTACAGGATCCTAGCCAGCTCCTCGTACAAACACACAGAAGTTGAATCCGAGGTGCTGCCTCTGTGTGTAAAGCAAGGGAAGGTGCCCCCTCTGCAAGGAGCTGCAGAGGCGGGAGGCCTGTGCGCCCTGGGGTTCGTGGCTCCTTGCTCTGCAGACACCTAGAAAATGCTGCTTCGCTTCTATCTGAGAGCACAGAGAGGACCAAGTTCAGGTGCAGGAGTGCTCAGCACGCCTGGCAGCAGCTTGGGAACCCAGAGCCTTCCTGGAGAGCTGACCTAGTCAGTCTTGCAGGCAACCAGTGGCACTGAGCCCATGAAGACCACAGCCCCTGTGGGACTTCCACCCCGGAACTTCTCAGGAGCCTGGCTTGCTCCCTGCACGAGCGTGTCAGCATGAGCGTGACACGGAGGCGGGCCAGCACCGGGCTCTGGGCTCCAAGCAACTCTGGTGCTACATCGTAGCCCTGGAGGCCATGTGGACTAGAGATTTGTAAGGGACAGGGAGGCTTCGGGGCCATGGGTCCTGTTGCCCGCGGCCCCAAACACGGCTGCTAAGGGTCGGCCTCCCCAGCCCACTCCTCGTCCCTCCTCTTCCACAGCTTCTACACCACACCCGCCCCCGAAAGTGCCCCCTCAACCTTCCCGCTGTCCCGCTCTCTCCATTGCCACGCACTGTTGCTAGGGCTCTGTCCTAACATTGACATCCCTGCACTGCTCACCCAACTATCACTTTAGGGAATGAGTAATCCAGATCTTGTTCCCAACTGGGAACAATGGGGCTGGGATGGTCTTGGCGTGGTAGCGAGGGTTGCAACATCACTTCTGACAGGCGATCAAAATGCTTTTAGTTCAGCACACTCCCTCATGACATATCACCCTGCACAACGGATCCCTTCGAGCACTTCGGAGGGTGTGAGTAGGTGTGCTCGCTCTCACTTTGGAGGGTGTGAGTGTGCGTGTGTCCACTGTCTGGCCTCTGCCAGCCAACTCACTGCCCAAGCTGAGAAATGCACAGGGACACAAGTCAGAGCAGCGAAGATCAGGCCATCGAGACACAATGCACAGAGCTGCGAAGCTGCTCTAGCTGCTCCCACGTGCGTATGTGTCACTGTGGGTCACCTTTGCCTGGACACCTCAGCAAGAAAACCCACAAATACTACTGGACCCTGAAAACTGGGCCACCAACCCATTTTGCAGAACAGAAAACAGAGAGATTAAATGACTTGCTTAGAGAGGCCAGCTGAAACAGCACACCCAGGACCACAGCCTGAGTGCCCTGGCCTCAGAACGAGCCCCCTACATGACAGCAGAGGCCCAAGGCCAGGGAAGGGGGCCTGGGCCCCTCACTGAGCGCACAGAGCCGTGGCTTCTCCCCAACCGCGGGGCTTCTCAAACTCCGCCGGCTGGCCGGCCTAGCCAAGACCCTCAAGGCAGCCCGGGGAAGTCGAACAAGGTGCCCAGGTCAGACTCCTGGTGCCTGGGGCCTTCAAACATGCATTCTCTTGCCATGACTGCAGGCTGGTCATCGCTTCTCCCCCGGTGGCGACCCGGGCTGGTGGGGTGAGCTTTATGACATGGCATGTTAACATCACAAAGACAAGGGGTTATTAGGTTGCCCTCTTTTTTTCAGAAGGCAACTTAAGTTCACGGAGGTCAAATGCAAGCCCGATTGCCCTGTTGGTGACGACAAGACAATCTGCCCCCACCTGCCCGCCGTCAGCCATGGCCCGTCTGCACCCCGACCGCTTTCCCTGCGCCTTGACCGGTCTGCTCCCCTGCTTACCCAGATGACTCAGCCTGTGCTCTCTCCACCCCCAGTTCACTCTCCCCTTCCATTCTCTGTGAGATCTGCCATTGCCTTTGAGACTGCAAACTCCTGCTCGCAATCGAGCTCTGAGACACCTGAGGTGTCTGAGCATTCGGACCTGGACTTGGTTTTGGTCTGTCGGGCCCTGGGGTCAGAGGCCCAGAGCTGCTCCTCGCCAGGCACTGCACAGGCCCCCTCCTCCAGGGAGTCCTCCTAGACTGACACCTCTCAGACGCCCCACCGGTTGCTTTCTCTAAGCCCAGTTGCTGTCAACCCAAGGGCACACTGGTTGCCTCATGTTTTCACAGGGGGTGAGAAGGTGTATTTGTGTTTCTTCAAAGACTGTACACATGTGAAAGAAGACTCAGTCCCCTGTGTCCTCAGGTAACCTCCAGCCCCTCCTCTTCACCTATCCTCTGCACCCCCGTACCCTGCATCTGAGGGGTACCCCATGAGTGGTGGACAGAGCGCCCCCAGTCCTGGGACCCACCCCCTCACGTACACACCAGAATTGATCCCTCAGACAAGGCTGCCAGGGGCAGGTGTGGTGATTTTAAGAGCATTTTGAGGGATGGGACTGAGAAAAGAATTGAAGACATGCAACGACAAGTCAGCTGGTCCATGGGACTCCACCAGGGACGTGGGAGAAGGAAATTTCAGGGGAGTGGGGAAATGAAGCTGGGAGGAGCAAGGAAATCCCAAGGGGGGGCGGGGTGCGATGTTGAAAGCTGGAGCCAGCAGAGGAGGGGCTGAGCTCCCGGGAGCCAGGAGTGCAGGGCGACGGGCGGCCTCCCAGAGAGACCATAAAGGAGGCCCCGGCGTCTCTCGCTGGCAGCGCCGAGCAGAGGAGAGACCAGGAAGGAGGCTGGAGGCCGTCGACGAAGAACCCAAGCGAGAGCAGAGACGGAGCCTGTCTTACAGAGGCAAGAGGCAGCCACAGGGGCTGCACTCCTGACGGCCCGTTTCTAGCTGTGTGACCCTAGGCGGGCCACTGGCCCTCTCTGAGCCTGTTTCCTCACCTGTGAAGTAGGGACTCCCTTACGGGGAAGCTGGAAGATAGTAGGTGATAGAAAGGAGGAGGGATCCTCCACCCTTGCATTTGACAGACCCCAGAAGATGATAGAACAGTCAGGAAAAGCTTTGAAACAAACTTCTTAGAAAATAGAGGAAGCGGCCTGGGATCTGTGTGCACCAACTATGTGCCAGAGGCTACATGGTATTTAAATATCACCCAAAAAATCACTGGAAATGCTGAAAAGACCCAGAAAGGAAATTTAAGTTCTTGAAGCAAGTCATCGAGTGGGAGAAAACTGTTGGGGCCCATAAACCTGAGAGAGGGAAGCGAGACACCCATCGCGGGCCGGCATGCCAGGCGCGGCTGCAGCAGAGGGCCGGCGACTTGGAAGCAGCCTCGCTGCGGAAGCCCGCTCCAAGGGGGGGCGGGTGAGCCGGGACTGAGCGCCTGGCATGGGCGTGGAAGCCGGGCTCAGCTCCCAGAGCCCCCCGCAGCCCTGCCAGTCCTGGGCAGTCCTCCCAACATCCCACGCGCCCAGCTCAGCCTTGCAACAGAGTGTTGATGAAGACACAAGTTCCCAAAGACATAAGGTTCCCGGGGCTGATCAGAAAGCTGATAAAGCCAGTCAGCAGGTCCAAGTAGACAATGGAATGGCACCGAGCTTGAAGACGGCCGTCAGAACACTCCCACAGTGTGGAGAGACATCGGGGTCACGGGACTGAAATGGAGGGCGAGGCAACATTCTCGAGACTTTTGCATAGACCAAGGACTTTCCCAGCCCAGTAATGCACACTTGTCCAAGGTCAAACGGAGTTAGGATGTTTTTGAGCCAATGACAGTTCCTCTTCCCCACGTCCCGAGATCGAAATCTACGTAGATGAGAAGCTGCTGGAATTAAATTTAGATTCTCAGTGCACCCCGCCCTGCCACTGCCTCACGGAGGGCGGGGCAGCTGGCAAACCTCTCCGGGAGTCTTGCTGTGCCGAGTGTGGGGCTCCCCCAGCCCCCCTTCTGCTTTGCACCCTTCTGAGCAGCACTGTCCAGAGCAGGGTGAAGCATCCCCCGGTTCCGGGGAGGAGCACAGCACCCCGCAGTGAGACTCGGGCGGCCTAATGCACGTGGGAACATTTTGCACATGGAATTCTTGATTTCACTGGGGTGAGCTAAAGGGGGGAGGCCTTTGCTCCTGGGGGAGGGGGCAGGGGCGGCTCCTTGTCTCAAACAGGAGTGTTGTTAGACCGGAAACCTCCGCCCCCCATCTTGTAGCGCCTGGGAACACCTCGAGACTTCACCCTGGCTCGGGCTGCTCCTCTCTGATCAGCCTTTGCTCGTGTTCCCGTCCCGGGGAGTCTCAGCTCCAACAGCCCTAGAATTCAGCCGCGTGACCCAGTCCTCCATGACTGAGTTGTTCAGGGCTTCTAGAAGGCAGGGCTGTGTCTTCTGGAACAAGCCCAATTGGGGTGGGAAAAATGAACCGTGGTTGCCTTTGCCTTCTGGTACTTTCCCCAGAGCCGACTTGAATTCCCTATCAAGCACATGACAGCTGATCCCAGGGGTAATCAAGGCAAACCCCGGAACCCGCCTGCTGGGACCAGAAGACATGGGTTCACCTCACACTCCCGGCTGGGCCCCTTGGCCCCTCCATGCCTTGATCCTTCCCTGGCTTCTGACCTTGTTTCTCCAAGTATGACAGAGACGAGGAGTCCTGGTCACGGCACAGGGATCCCCGCCCCCCGCCCCCTCCCTCAGCCTCCTGCCAAGCGGTTACTCAGTCTCTGTTTGCAATCTGCTAACTCCCTAGTGACTCGCATCTCCGGATCAATAAAAGTTGTCACTCACAGCTGCTGCAGCCCCACCTGGTCGATCACCCCACTTCCTGTGGAGGCACTTCGAATATTTACAGTGGACAGTCTCATCCCCCCAGGACTTCTCCAAGGCCACCCTCTGGCAGTCGGTTTCTCACCCCTCCCACCACCATCTCCTGAATGGCCCCCACTCAGTCATGTCCCCAGAGTAGCCCCACTGTGGAAGAGCCTCTCTGACCCCCGTGCCTGTCACCCTCAGCCACGGCTCACGGGGCCCCTCTCAATCATGGCGATGCCACCGTTGTCTGGCCCTGCCCTCATGCTCTGCGTGACGGCAGTTGCCGGGCACTGGCTCGGTGCACTCACTGTCTCAGCTGCCACGCTGCCCACTGCCCCTCTCCCGCCCATCCCCTCGGAGGCCGGCTGCCACGCAGGCCAGATAAGGAGCAGCTTCTCAGAAAGAACACAGGGTGTGCCTGGGAACAGGTGTCTTATCAATCTGCGCTGCCGGTTTGGAGAGTCGCGCCTGAATGCACCCCATATCCAAAGTCTTTCTGGATTCCTTCGGGGAAGGAGAATGTAGACCCAATCTTCAATGTGACTCCTTTACCCAAGCTCGGAAATCTCACGTAGGATAAGGTGCTCGCTTACCCGGCTCTGTGCTTGAATGTCTGTGTCTGTCTCCCCAGGGACATGGATGAAAGCCACCCCCACTGCCTCAGCCACTGACCTGCCAGCCAGGTCTGCCCTCTGATGCACACACTGCCAGACTATCCCATGTCTGGGGCCCTCCCCCTACTCCCCGACACCGGCCCAACTCTGCTCCCCAGCCCTGCTCCGCTTCCCCCCTCCACGGCCTTCCCTGCCCACACTGTCCCCTGCCTCAGGATGCCCTGTGTCCTGGGAGCAGCCTCGCCCGCCCTCAGGCACACGCGCTCATTCCTGCTCCTCTGGTCCTTCCCCTTCCCCACAATCTGCCATTTGGGTGGTGAGTGTCTTAAGCTTCAGAAGCGTGTTCATCCACATCAGCTTCCTGGCACTCAGGAGAGCTAAGGCCTTCTGAGCCCGCCTGTGCC